TTCCAATAATATATCTTGACCTTCAGCATCCTCCAAGTTAAGGTTTCTTTGAAAGAATCTATGAAGTTTCACTGGTGTATTTTTTTAAATCTGTATGATTTTTTGTTCTAGGTTTTCCTCTTCATGTTCCTCAGCATTCTTACAGCTTCTTCTAGGTCCAGTTCCAAAGCCACTTCCCCCTGCTTATTCCCTTTGTTAGGTCAAGTTCTTCTCAGGTTACATCTCTCCAAACTACTCTTTTATTTTCCCCTTCCATCTTTAAAGACTCATGATTAGATTAGGTCCACCCAGATAATCCAGAGGAATCTCAATTTAACCTTAAACAGATCATCAAGTCCTTTTTGCTACAGGAAGCAATATATTGGAAGTTTCTGGAGACTTAAGATGTAGACATCTTTGGAGGTGGGGTTGGAGGCATTATTCATTCTTTTATAGTCATTAGAAATCACAAAATCCTTGGACATGAGATCTGAGTATGATATTCCTTATCAGGAATTCCAAAAGGAATTCTAAAGGCAGGTTTATGAGTGTTTGAGTCAGACACGCCCTCTCTATATATTTGAATCCTCTCTCTGCCATTTACAACCTTCTTTCATTTTAGGACTTTGAATGTTATTTCATTTATGAGACAAAAAAAATGGTTACACTGCAGGATTGTAGTCAGGAATAACAAAGTGAAATTCATTCTGTGTCGGGTCTTCTACTTGAATCATCTTATTGTTGTATACCCACAACCAATCTAAATTCATGCCATCGTCACCCGTATTCCCTAGTTGAGGGAATGGTCACCTGTGATTAAGTGATCATTTAAGAAACTAAGTAACATGCCCCAGATTCACAGGTAAAGAATGTGAAATTGGGACTTAAACCGGAAGGTCTCTTCTGTCTGAGCAGCCTGGCATATAACCCACATGCTATCTTGCCTACCCAGTAATTTGAGTGAGACAGCAAATATAAAATACTTAGCATACTGTGGGACACTTAACAAGCCTATTCAACAGGGTCTCCTAGCTATTCTGCACAGCAGTCAAAATGAGCACCTGCTTTGCTGTTTCCTTCCTAGACTTCCCAGTTGGCAAAGGACCACCACATCCTGAAATTCAAGAAGGGCAGCAGGGGAGGGGAAATCTTGCATTATTTGTGTCAATTTCCATTTGTCTAATGGACTTGTTAAAAGCATCCTGGGTGGGAAGTGTGAGTCTTAATGACATTTTATAAAAGTTGCTGTGATGAATTACCACATAAAGGAAATTAAAAACAGCGTATCACTTTTTAAATTAGGAGATGAGGTATGGCATCATTTTTCCCAGGCATGAAAATCCATTAATAGCCAAAGGAGCCAGAAGCTGCTGAAATGTGTCAGCTGCTTGGTTTTAGGACCCTTACAAGTCTGAATCACTGTAATCCAAGAGGGGCAGATCATTCAAGATAAATAGAGCCCACGGCAAGAATGTGTTACTGAGTCCTCAGCAAACACATCTATTGCTAGACAAAAGTGGGAAACTCCCCTCAGAGACGCTTGGGAACAGAATGGAGCACAGTAGAATGAATGTCTGGCCCAGTGGGGACCACCGGAAACTGTCTCCACTCCTCTCCTGCCACTTATAAATGAGAAAGCTGAGACTTGGGAGGGAATGGTTTCCAATAGTCATTGAAAATACGTACCTGTTCTGAGGATATACTTTTGCCTTGTCCTTATCCAGGGTCCTGAAGATAGAGAGGTGTTTTAAATGTCTATACAGAGACTAGAAGACAACTGCTATGTGGCCCAGTTATGACCAGGTCTCGTGAGTCAAAGCCTAGTAGTTTCAGAATAAAGACTGCAGTAGTAATAATGGTTAACATTGAGTGAGTACTCACTAGTGCCAAGCTAGTGTTGCAGTACTTTGCATGTATTATTTCATTAAATCCTCACAACAATTTTCAAGTAGTTGTTGTTGTTGTTATGCCAGTTTTACAGTTAAGAATACTTTAGGCCCAAAGAAGGATAAGATTTAAGGTCCTTCCTACTTCCGATGGCCAGAAGGTAGCAAGCTGGGAAGTTAAACAATGAAATGGATTTTGGTGCCAGTGTTCATTTTTTATTCAGTGTCCCCACATTTATTCATGTGAGCCTTAACTTCCTGCAACTCCTTTCTCCTCTATAAGAAGGGGATACTACTTTTTCACTCGTAAGATTGTTAAGACATCAAAACTGAAAAAAAGGCAAGGACTACAAAGGGCCAATCTGCCCAATCAGATCAGTAGCGGCAGCCATCATGGTCAGCATCCTCCCCACCTGAATGCCACTACTACCTTCTCCACAGCTGAACAGGGAATAAGGTGCAAAGCCCTGAACCAGAAGGTAGGTTGGGAGGCCCAAACTCGGTTGCTGACTTTAAGCCATATGTTCTGGGGCTGCTCAGTGGGGCTCCCAGCTCTATAAAAAGGAGATCATACTATCGTATTCTTCCCAGGAACGAGGCACACGAAAGTGTGTTGCATGGCCCAGCACACAGGGATGATTCTCTGCAAGGCTCGACAGGACTCAGCATAACCCAGCTGAGGAGTAATGATCTATTACACTAAAAAGGATACCAAGTAAAATGAGCGAAGGGAGAGGATTATAGGATGAAGTCTTCAGGAAACAAGGTGTAAATTTTCAAGAGTCCGCTCAGTGGAAGAACATGGGCTGTGCCTAATGCCTCTAGGAACAAATTATAATAGCAGGAACAAAATTTCTACCAAGGAAGCTCATTAGAAACTCAGTATGAAGCCTTTTCACTGGGGCTACGTACCTTGCAAACTCCCAAAAGGAAAGCAGGAAAACTGGTATAGTTGTAACAATTGAGGCACATGAGCTATTCTTTTGAGAACTCACAAAATTTAAGTTCCCAAAGGCAACTTTTATAAATAGGCCTTTTTTTAATCTCATTGAGTGTATTGGTACTTTTTAAGTATACAGTACAGTTACCTTCATCATTGGGAACTTGTACTTTTACATGACAGGTCTTGGTTCTCTTTCTTTCCCCATACCCCTGCTCTCCTCTCACCCCCTACACCCTCCCCTATTTAGAAAGACTTTGTTTCCATTTTTTCCCTTTTCTCATATTTTTTCTTGTCCCTTATTTCCTTTTCTCTACCCTTCCTACTTCCCCTACACCTTTAGCCCTTTTCTTCCACAAATAGGCCTTTTTGAGGATAGCAGTTGGAGGCATGCTATATTCTTTTTTGTCTGTTTGTTTTTGCTTCACAAAGCGAAATCTGTAAAATGAGTCATTATCCCCTCAAACAAGAAAAGTAGTTCCCACTTACCAATTGTCACTGTGTACCAGGCTGCGCTATAAAGGCCTTACTTACTGCACTGTGTAATCACAAAACAACTCCATAGTGGAAATACTGTTAACCTCACCATCATTACTGTGTCACATACAAGGAAACTGAAGCCTAACAGAAATTAATTAGCTGCATGTGAGCCACTGTGGGAGTAGGACATGGCCCAGTAGCATGGCCCCTGAATCCAGACTTCTAACTCATACTGTCTGCCACCTCACTTTTCCCATGCCAGGGGGCTGCTTGTGTGTGATTTGATTCGTGCTAACAGCAGCTCCATGTGAATGTAGTTAGTAGATTGATTTTGTATCAAAAACGTGTGGTTCAGTATGTTAATTGAATGATGTCATGTGGCAAAGCCAGAGAAGTGACAGAACCGGAGTCTTCTGCCTGTTCCAGCTCCCTTGGAAATTGGGTGAGCCCTGGGGAAAAAATATACAGACAGTCAAGGTGGACATAATTTAGTATGGAAGCTCAGATGAAGAAAATTCTCCACAAATTTCACCACTTGAAGACGGAAGAAGTATCTCTGTTATAATTCAGTTTCTGCAGTACTTGAGGGTTGGAGACTGTCTTCAGCTCTTTCGGTTACCATGACAGCAGATGTGACATTTCTTTGATGGAGGAAAAAAAAAAGATGAAAGAATAAAACCAAACTTGGTACTCAGTGATTTTTCAAAAATTCTATTCCCCAAATATAGCTTGTTTCACATGCATAAGTGGTTATACTCCAAGGAAATTCATAGGAAACGAGGAGGTGGTGAAATGTGCTTCTCCTGGGAAATAATATGATGTGTGTGTGTAATGGTGGTTTTTGACTAAAGGATACAGCATGGGGAAGGCAATATAGGACCTACAGTAAATCATCACCTTCTTAAAACAACAGCTAGTTAGTACGTAAGGTCTTGTTCACTGTTTTGTTTCCTGCTTCCAGCTCCTGCAACCCATCAGTCACTCACAGTGGTTGCACTGCCCTTACACAGGCCCTGCCACAACTCCTCAGTGGGGGCACCATGATACAGACGTAAAGAGTTCTATGGAAACAAAAAGATTTATGGTGTTATTCATGTGATTTTGAGCTGTTACTACATGCATGTCTATATTTTCATTGCATTTCAAGCATTTGTTCAGGTTATCACGTTTACCCCTTCAATTATCCAATTTCCATGATAGTCCAACATCCCATTGTCTGAAAGAATCAGAGTCTCCCAGTGGTAGATATTTTCTGTTGCTACCACTTTTCTTGGTTACAAAGGAAAGAGTTCTACAGGCTAATACATCTGAGAGTATTTGCTTATAACATGAAATGCTTTACTTAGCTATGTTTCTCTTCATTTTATCTCTTTTTAGTAATTTTTAAATTTTGATTGTAATGGGAAGAAAAAATATCTCAGGTAGTAAACTGACTTCCTCATCTTCCATCATCACCTTTTAAAATCTGATACCCTCCAAGATAAAATGCAGATCCCAGTTTTAAGGACCTCTGGGCCACCACTGCAGCCAGCAAGAAAATACAGCAGTTAACCTCAGTTCCAGGACAAAACAGTGGGAATATAACCTGCAATCATCCTACATCTGATATCAAATGGATGATGGATTGTCAACGAAAGAGTAAAAAATCAAAACTATAAATTGTATATCTGTGCTGTCAGCTTTCTAACCAGGCCCTCTTGTGACATTTCTTTCAGAGCCATGTTTGACTATGACAAAAGCAAGGACAGTGGGCTTCCAAGTCAAGGACTTAGCTTTAAATATGGAGATATTCTCCACGTTATCAATGCCTCTGATGATGAGTGGTGGCAAGCCAGGAGAGTCACACTGGAGGGGGACAGCGAGGAGATGGGCGTCATCCCCAGCAAGCGGAGGTAAGAGTGGTTGTTGTGTCTCAGAACGTTTGCCCTTCAGCTAGCCAGGGAGCAGAAATGAGAGAAGAGGAATGTTCACAAAACAACTATGTAAGTGGGACAGACAATCTGCTGGAAAAGTGTCAGTGGTGACAGGTGACATGAATAAAATATTCTCATTCTCCTCATTGGAATTTTACCAAAATTGGTGACTGTGACAAGCCATAAGAAAAAAAAAAGGATCTGTTTATACCATCTTCCTAAAACTTTCCCCAGCACCTGTTTATTTAAGGCTATGCTACTGGCCTGTATGCTGACTTACAAACTTAGTGTATCTATTCTAAAGGCTCAACATGAATTTTACAGAAAGGCCAGGTAGAACTAAATAAAGTAAGCAGTTTACTAAGCTAAGTACCTGGCTAACATCTCATATATTGATGAAACAAACTGAAAACCCTCATCCAAAATTCAGATGCTTGGGATATGAGCTGCCAAATACCTGATGAAATTCAAAGACTGGATACTCAGCTGTTTCTTTGTTTTTTGTTTGTTTGTTTGAGGGGGGTGTTTTGTTTTTACTGTTTTAGTTGGACCTCTTCCCCATCTCACAATTTCCAGTAGTTACTCAGATATATAGCTGTGTAAATGTTTTCTAAATCCAAGGGCATGATCCTCTGTCTCTTGAACTCTACTTTTGGGGCCAGAAATATACTTCACTCCTATGTCTGTTTCTTAGCTTCTATTCATCACCATCCAAATAACTTCCACCCTGTGAATGTCCGTTTGGCACCAAGCCATTGTTAAAAAAAACAAAAAACAGACACTGACTGTATCCTGGAAGAGAGACATACAAAATTGGTAAGGAGTGATGCTTGTTCAAAGCAGTCGCTTTTTCTTCAGCCCCTTTCTCAGAGATCTTTCATCCTTGTATTCAAAAGCTCAAAATACCTTTGTGCACACTTCTCTGTGCAGCTGAGTAGTCAAGTGCTGCCACACACAAAGGGAGTCAGTGACTCAGACAGTACAAACCATAGTAGAAAAGATACAATTTACACCCTCAGAATGATTCTGTGGGACATTTGTGCCCCGAAGAAGATTGATCTTTACGCTTCTCTACCTATGGCCAAGGACCATTTTGGGGAGGGCAGCAGTTCAACTGTTTCACAGTTGCTACCTTACCTGTATGGGGAAGGAAGCAGTGCAGTGGCTGAAGCTCCAGACAGCCTTTCTATCCTGCGCATTTGCTTGTGGATCTCTCACCAGGTCTCTACATCTCTGCACTCCTGGAGCCTGGCCTGATGCTAGTTCATGTCAACTTTGTACCATGGCTTGTAGTGTTTTCTAAAAGGCTAAATATTCAAAGAAGTGATTCTTAGCAATACTTTTTATATATTTTATGTTTCTCCATTTCCATTTAACTTCAAAAAAATTTTTTTGAATGTCAAGACAAATGGATGTTGGGCTGCTTTGCTGTGTTTGATCACAGCTGTCTGAGGAGCTCTTCTCTGCAAACAGGAGACACGTTGGTGAATACAGCCCCCAGGATAGAAATGGTGTGGAGGAAAGAAACCTATGTAGGAATGGATTTCAGCTCATTTTGAGGAAATCTTCTATGTGGGACTGTCTAGATATGGCATGGACTACTTATGAAGATAGAAAAGGGATTCAAACTTTAGATAAGAGAGTTCAACTATATGATTTTTAGGCCCTTTGAAACCCTGTGATTCTAACCAATTGTGTCATTCATTTGTTTAATGCGCATCATTTACCTTCTGAAGAAATTTTCAGTGCTATTCCTCTAGAAATAATTTTCTACCTACTTGTGATTATTCTTGAATTGGCTGTTTCTCTCATAGTTTGGATTGAAGCTATCTTAACAACCGTACTGTAGCACACTTAGAGAAATTTTTTCAGTGTCTGCAATACTGATTTTTTGTTTGCATTCTATTTCATGATGGGTCTAATAGCCCTACATCAGGAATATATTTTATATAAAATGTTCTATAAAATAAATATACAGTATTGATTTATTTAAATATATGTCTTTATGTAGAATTTATACCTGTAAATGAATTTCTGTCAAATTTTCTCCTTAGGATGTTATTTCAAGAAGTTACTTTTCATTTATATATAAGTAGTAAACTTTATTGTAGCAAAGTGGGAGAACTGAGAAAAATATAAGGAAAGAAGTAAAAACCATTTTATAATCCTAACCCACAAGGAATCCTTTTGTACTAATTTTAATGCAAGTTAAAGTCTAACTTTATTAGATTGGGTTTTTTAAGATCTCTAATTAACCTATCATAATTATAGTTTATTTAGTAGAACTGTCTGGAGATATCTCATAATGGATAGCATTGGTGTATAAAGTTTCTTTAACGATGACTTAACCATTCTAATAAAACTATAGGACAAAGAATATGAATATCATCATCTTTCCTTCTTTTGAAGATGATGAATAAGCTTATTTAGTAAAACACTCCATAAATGCTAGACACTGTTCTAAGCGCTTTATAATTATTAACTCTTTAAACTTTACTATCCTATGAATAAGATACTGTTGTTATTCCCACTTCACAAATGAAGAAGTTGAGGTGCAAGGAGGTCACCTGAATTTGCCTGAAATTGCTTTTCTAATAAGTGGCAGAACTGGTACATGAATATAGACTATTTGAATTGCTCTTAACTCATATGCAACCCTGCCTCCCAAAGTTATCAAAATGAGAGTGTACAGATTTCAATTCATCATGCAGGGTCTGTATGCGATTGCTATTGTAGAGTCACTGCTAAGCATCCACCATTCTCAAGACCAGCACGAAACTCTATCACAGAACTTTGTGGCTAGGAAGAAGAGAATTCTATAAAGTTGCTAAGGGAAATGAAAGATAAAAATTCCTTCTGATAATAGTGCTGACTGTATATTATAGTCTCTTTTTTCCTCTTCCTGTAACTCAATACCAGACTGGAAATTTATAAAGTACAAAGGTTTTACTTAGCTCATCGTCTGGAGGCTGGGAAGTCCAAGGATGAGGCATCAGATCTGGTGAAGTTCTTCTTGCTGTGTAGATGCTGCCAAATCCCAATGTCTGAGTTCTCAGCCCAATAGCTCTCAAATCCAGGGGCCCACATTTGGGTATTCCCTCAGAGAGAAAGAGAGAAATCCATGCCTTTCTAGCTAGTAAGGAGAGGCTGCCCATGACAGTGAGTCCCCAAGGTAGAATACCTGCATTTCCTGCCTTTTAAAAGGCAAGGAAATTGGGAATATGATGACAAGTGATTTTTGTGGATAGTATTACTGTAAACATCTTAGCAGTATCCTGTTATGTACTGAGTTCTAACTATGTGTCGATTCTTTGCCCAACAGTTTTTTTGTATTGTCTCATTTAACAGTCACCATGATTTTTAAAGTCTATGTTGTTATTTTAATTTTACCAACATGAAAACTGAGATCCAAAAAGGCTGAATGACTGCAGGAAGTCACAGTCTAGTAAGTGGCGGAGGTAGGATTCGAAGTCCAGGTTTGTGTGGCTTCACAATCTGAATCCTTAGCATAGAATCTGAGTGTTCAAGCCAGGAATTGTCCGGAGGTCTTTGAGCCATCCATTGTCTCACAGGGGTTGGTCTCCTAGGCTTAGGATGACAGCTTTGTCTAGCACTACATAAGCGTGTACTAACCTGGCCTTCACAGCAAGTTGTGGCCACTGGTTTGGATGGCATTTCAATTCTCCCTCTAACAGAGCCTGGAGAGTACAGACAAAGGAACTGTACATGATAAATCATATTCCCACTATCCAGTGCTCCTAGTCTGGTCCAGTTATGTGGTTGGCTGGAACCTGAAAATACCAGATGGGAAAGGGAGAAAGGGAGAGGGAGACAGTTGGGCTCATTAAAGCATTACCATTTGATACTACCTGGAGATGCTAGATGTCAGAATTGATTGCTCCAATTTTGCTACCCAGTATGTTTTAAGTGTTTTGGTCAGTGGCAAGACTAGGGTGGGGAGGATTGTTTCTGCTTAAACGATCAAATTAATTGCCTGAGTCTGAGTGTGAGAAGGAAAACGCCACAGTGTTCTCACGGCATTTGGGTCCATGTGTACAGGTGGAGCTACCATTCACTTAAGCAAAGCCCTTTGGCCCTTGATATCTATTTCTGCCAAAAAAAAGTCTTACTCAGTAAAACAATGAGAAATGGTGATGCACAATTGTTATGCAGATTCTTACCAAGGGAAAAGATTGTAAAATATTGAACAACTTTTTATTAGAAATATAGATTTTTTTTTTTTTTTACTAAGTCACTTAAACTCTCTTAGCCTTATTTTTCACATCTAGGTTGAGAACTTGAATCCTCCATGAGAGTTCATTCAACAAAGATTCACAAAAGTTCTGCTATGTGCCCAACTCCATTATAGATAAAAATAGGTAGCATGTTTGACACTGCTTCTAGAACTTAGTGTAACACAAATGATGACTATTTTTCTTTTTTCAGATTTTGGTTTCAGAGAAAAAAGCATCACACCATTTAGTACCATTTCCAAGCTTTACCTCTCATGTCAGCAGTGAACTATCTGTATGCATCCCAGGAAGGACTAGGAGAGCAGAAGGGGCAAGGCATGTGAGGAAGGAAAATAAAAGCCACAGTCATTGCTACCGAGGAAAGAGGTTTTCAAACACAGAAAGGCAATTGGGTTTTGTGATGGTGAAGCACAGCCATGGCTACTGCTATGCCGAGAGAGAACAAGTCAATATGTATGATGTAATGTTGCAAGTGAGCATTTAGTTCAGCTGATTTCCATGTCCAGAGTAAATTTATTCTGAGTTTTGAGGCTAGCATCTATACATGTATGTGAGTGTCTGACAATATTCTTTGCAAAGCTTTTAAGATCTTGTGATCTTAAAATGTGATGAACTGCTAACATTGGCCTAATAGAGACATTTTTCCAAAGAGTGGAAAAGAATAAACTTAGAAACAGGGAAGAAGAGGGGATCAGAACACACTCTGTCCAAATAATTCTGAGGTTTGAATACTGAGTTCAGCCTGATATTATGTTTGGGGCCTGCATGAGTTCTATGAATTTATACAGAATTTATTTGAATATACAGACTAAAGCACTAGGTATTCTCTGTGTGGTATAGTCATTTTGACAGCCTCCAGTGAACTAGTGGTTCCCGTCATTAGCCTAATTAATGCAAAGAAGCCAGAATAAAATTGGGACCCTGACACTAGTTTTAGAAGACTTCAAAGAAATGAATATGAATTATTTGCACTTGGATTAAAACTGAGACAAGCTGCTGAACCTCAGAGCAGGACTTTTCTCAGTAAGCATCTTTCCACTTGGTAGTTCATCCTATTTGGAGTCTTTCTTGCTCTCCTCCCAAGTGTTACATGTTGGATGCAAGTAGAAATTTTCCAGTGGGACATACTGCTTAAATATCTAAGGTTAGATTTGAGGAAATTTTTTCAGCTGTTTCCACTCAAGTATTCTCTCATTCTGAAATAAATATATTCTGAAACCTCACTCTGTAACTATAGAAACCCTGATCTTCTCTGTGCTTCAGTTAGAAACACAAAAGAGCTCTCAGTTAGAAAGGAGTATGCTGTTAATTATTGATCTATGAATAGCTAAGACCTTATCCACCATGAAGTTTCTATAGATTCAGGGGTTCTCTCTCTCTCTCTCTCTCTCTCTCAAAAGAAAATATTGAAATCACAACTAATCATATTTAAGCAAAAAGTCATGTTAAAACAACACATTGTATTTTTTTTCTCGTTCAACAATTATTTATGACTTGCTATAATTCACATTGAGTGATGGCCTCAAGCCATGAAATTTAAAGAAAAAGCCATGTAAAAGCCATGAAATTTAAAGAAAAAGGAAATCAAGAAATAATAAAATAAAATAAAGATAAAATTAAATGGCCCTCTCTCCCTGGAACTTCCTGGACCCTGTGCTTGCAGATGGCGTTACCTGGAGCTTGGGCAGCAGTCTGCAGATATCAAGGACAATGGCCAAGAACAAATTAAGAAGGCAGAAGTCCAGGAATGTATTTCACATAGCCAGCCAAAAAAATCTTTAAATCCAAAAACAAAACAAAACCAGTCACTACTAATCTTAAAAAGATAAACATTGTAAATGATGAAAAAGTTCATAGAATGAATAATGCTTTTATATAAACAATTCTGAAGGAACTTGCAAACTTCTCAAAAAGGCTCACTCTTGAACTGCTGGAGAAAGAGCTGAGTAATCAGTAGCATCATGAAAATGAACCAGTTAATGTTGATGAAGCTGCAAGATTAATGGCTCGATTGTAATACAATGAAGGTTTACCAAATTCCCCCCCAAAAACTCAATAAAATAAGTATTTTATACAAAAAAAAGATAAAACTAAATACTGTTATGGCTTAAAAGAAGGAAAGATCATCCAATTGGCAAGAATTTGAAAACTCAAGGAAATTTTTTTCTCTTCCTCCTTTTCAACCCTGGCCTTCAAACAGGCACAAGTCCTACAAATTTTATCTTGAGGCTTTCCATCTCCTCCACCTCATTATCATATTTCATCATTTCTTGCCCAGATTATGTCAATAGCTTCTAAATAGGCCTCCTTTTCTTTCCCTTGGTTAGTCTCTCTTCTACCTGCACCAAGCTCATTTATTTAAAACACTAATTTGATTTTATTGCATCCTTGTTTTACACCCTCCAGTAACTCTTGAGGATTCCCCAAGGAAAACCCCAACTCCTGGAAGTAGATTAACATCCTTTACGTTCCCCTGTTGTCCTCATCTCTGCATCCTCTGGTCTTTCATCTTGCTCACACCCTCAGGTCATGGGCATGTTCGTCCCATTTGGAATTCCTCCTAACCTTTCCTACTGACGAGCTTCTTCTCATCTTGAAAGTCTGATCAACTGACACCTCCTCTAAGGAGCCCACCCAAATGCTATCCACCCCTCTTACACCCCCCAGTGAAATAAGTACACCCATGTTGATATCACAGTTCTTACTGTAGTGGATTATTATCAGTTTTTCTTTACATCTCTGTCCATGCCAAGAGCACACTGCCACAAGTTCACTGCAGTCCTACTTGTAAAATCTATTTTCTTTGTCCTTTGCATTTCATGTGATATATAGTAGGCACCCAATAAGTGGTTAATGAATGGAGTAGCAGGTAAAATGATAAATCTGCAGAAATGACAGAAGGAAGACATTAGATTTCTTGAAAGAAAATTCAAGATCATATATAACATATTTGGTCATCAAGTAAAGCTAACTATGCCAATGTTCTTAAAGGGAAGATAAGGAAAGGGGAGGAAAAAAGAGGAAAAGAAAGGAAAATCTTGTTTAATCTCCATTTTGCACATTCATCTCTACAGACGGATTTATTAAAACTGATTTTGATTTATTTAAGCATTTAAATAGCAAATGTTATCTTTTTTCTTCCTCTTAAGTTCCTTCCAAATATTGTGACTCTCAGCATATATAACACAAAATTTCAAGGAACATATTAGAAGCTTAGAGCTTAAAGATTTTACAGTGAACAAAGGAAGAGAAATATTTTAGAACACATTTTCTTTGAGTTGTAAGGATGAGGAAAAGGTATTCTTCACTTAATAAAGAATTTCATCATAAATACTTTGTCATGTGATAGACTCTTTATTTTCACATTTTTCTAGGGTGGAAAGAAAGGAACGTGCCCGATTGAAGACAGTAAAGTTTAATGCAAAACCTGGAGTGATTGATTCAAAAGGGGTAAGTACAATCTGATGGAAACATTATATTCTCTCAGCTGCATAGAGTTAATAATGCTTAACATTTAGGCTTTCAGAAGCAAATTATGGAGCTATTAGACAGTACAGCACTGTTATAAATGTATAGCTGAAAGTACTGTCATTTGTGATCAAATGGATTAGATTTATTGTAAATATATTAAGTACTGGGTGTAATATTCGTGGTCAGGATAAATGATATGCTGATGAAAGTGAGGTAATGACTACAAACAAAATACGCAGTTTAGGGGTTTTCTCTTTTATTCTTTTAAATTATATTCTAAAAGGTTGAATATCATAAAAGGTATCTCATCAAAAGTATATTTAGTTTGTTATACATTATAAAATTAAGACAGTGGTCATGGAAATATTCATATGTATCACTTAAGTGAATATATATATATATATATTGTTGTGACAAACATAAAAAAAGGAGAGAATTAACAAGTCACCAAAATTGAAATATCTACTCGTGTATACCTTTTTTCTTAGTAATAACTTTAATGAGACATAATTCACACAGCATATAATTCAGCCACTTAAATTTAGAGTTGTGCAACCATCACCAACCAGTTTAAACTCATTTCGTAGCTCCATAAAGAAATTCTGTATCAATTAGCAGTCACATTCCATTTCCTCAAACCTTCTGCTCTTACTTAGCCATGGACAATAATCATTAATCTACTTTCTGTCTTTATGGGTCCCTATAGATATTTCATATGAATATAATTACATAACATATGGTCTTTTGTGGCCATTTATTCCACTTGGCACAATATTTTCAAGTTGCATTAATGTTTTGCATGTATAAGTATTTCATTTATTTTTATTGCCGTATATCTTACTGTTTGGATATGCTACGTTTAATATATCCATTCATCAGTTGATGGACATGTGGGTTGTTTTCAATCCTTAGCCACTCTGGGTAATGCTGCTATGAACATTTGTATTTGTGTTCAAATTTTTATGTAGACACAGCTTTTCTTTTCACTCATATATAACCTGACTGAGATCACTGGTCCCCTCAGCAATGTGATAGCTCCGTACTTAACACTTTGAGGAACTAGCATACTGTTTTCCAGTGTGGTTGCACCAGCTCACATTTCCATTCATAGGTTTGAGGGGTCCAATTTCTCTATACCCTTCCCAGCTCATTATTGAATGCTGAATCTTTTTAATTATAAACATCTTGGTGGGCATGAAGGGGCATCTCACTGTGGTTTTAATTTGCATTACCCTAAAGACTGTTGATGCTAAGGATCTTTTTGCATGTTATTGGCCATTTGTGTACCTTCTCTGTGGGTTTCTATTAAGATTCTTTGCCCATTTTTAAATGTGGGCACTGTTGTTGCAGTTGCAGAGTTGTAGAAGTTCTGCATTAGTCTATTAATTTCTTATAAAAGGTTTTCACATAGTTTCTCACATTCTGAGTTGTCTTTTGACAATACTTTTTAATTTTGATGAAGTCCAGCTTATCTTTTTTTTTTCTGTTAATGTTTTGATGTTATATTTAAGAAACCATTGTCTAATCTAAGGTCACAAAGATTTTTGTTGTATTTTCTTCTAAAAACTTCATAATTTTAGCACTTCCATTTAGGAGTTTGACCCATTTGGAATTAATTTTTGTATATGGAGAGAGATCAGGTTCCAATTTCATTTGTATGTGAATTACTGTCTTCACTTTTGCCTGTCCATTGCAAATGTAGAGAGAGTATTGTAGACATGTTTTTATTTGTATATTAGTCATATCTTACGTTTATGAAACGACTTAGTAGTTCTAATAGTTTTTAGTGGATTCCTCAGGATTTCTGATATATAAGACCATGTCATATGAAAGAAGAGATTTTTAAAAGACTTTTTTTTCTTGCTTAATTGTCATGGCTAGAACCTCCAATACAATGTTGGGCAGCTATGGCAAGAGCAACCATCTTTGTCTTCTCTTGACTTTAAGAGGAAAGATGCAGTTGTCTACTATTAAATTTGATGTTAGCTATAATTTTCATAGCTTTTTAAATATATTTTTGAAGGACCAACATTATCTAGTATCATATGGGCTATAATATCTTACTGCTGTATTATAACTCTATCTTTTCTTTTCATGTACTTGCCTTTGACTAAGCTAATAATTGTAGCTTGTCAGTATTACACAGAACCACAAATTATGCTCAATAGATGTCCCTATGAAAAAAATAAGGAAAAGTAACATTATTCAAGGTTTTTAAGACTCACACACAATGCTATCCTTGGTATTTTAGGTAGAGATTTTACTATGAAGACCAGTAATTTACATAATTTACTTTCTAAAAAGCAGTATTTAAGTGAAATAGAAATTCATTTAAACATATGAATCATTCTCAAGAAAAACAAGAGTTTGTGATACTATGGCATAGAATCCTTTCAAATACTACTTAATTACTAAAGGCTAGGACTTTTTACTGATTCCTAGTAAGAAGGTAAGGATATATATATATATTTGTTTCATGTATGTAGTTGATATGTATCAGAAAATTTGTCCTGAATACCTACCATGTGTTAGACTTATACAGGATACAAAATATAACCTAGACTTATAACATTAGTAAGAGGCCAGATACCTTTTTGGTAAAGCCAAAACATGTATGGCATACTTTGTATATGATAAATACCCTTAAATATTTACTAATTAACAGAAATGTAAATTCTAGGACTTGAACTGCTATTGAAAGAGAAGCGTAATCATTTGAGAAGTGAAGTTTGGGGCTGTAAGTTAGGAGGATCATTCTAGTTTCAGTTCTAAATTCTGGTTTCAGTTCATTATTAAGTCACCATTGTTCTTTGGGTCTCAAGCAAATTAACAGCTTTGAATTACATCAGGGATAACAAAATAAATTTTAACTTCTATGTATTCTGAGGGTATCCATGAAGAAATAAATCTAAGAGTCACCATTTGAAAGTTCTGTTTGCTAAAATGTCCAGGCTTTCTATCCACTCTGTATACCTTCACAAAGCCTGAGTCCACATATGCAAAGAAAAGTGGATTATTGTGTTAATAGTCTAGACAGAGTCTGGCTACGTCCCTAAAATTCAAACAGCCGTCTACATGGTGGAGTTTCCTTGTCACCATCACAATTCCCCAGATATCAATGCAGCCAAGTCCTTCTGGGAATATCTGTGAAGTCCTTAATGAGTTCAAACCAGACTGTGGTGAAAACTTAATCACTCTTATTTTGTTTCATTATCCTTCTAACTTTTTTATTACTTTCCTAACTACATGTATTAGTCAGCTTTCCTGCTGCTGGGGCACAGTATCCACACCCACAATTTAAAAGAGGAGATATGTCATTTGGCTTACCGTTTCAGATGTTTCAGTCCACGTTCAGCAAGCTCCAAGGCAGAACCACCATAGCAGAAGGGAAGGGTGGAACAAAGCTGTATACTTCATGGTATCCGGAAGCAGTGCACAAGGGGTGAATGCCAGCAGGACGTACACCTTCCGAAGGCACATACCCAGTGATCCACTTTCCAACAAAACATTCAACTGTGGACATAAGTGGATTAATCTACTCATATGTATAGCACCCCTGTGACCCAGTCACCTCTGAGTCTCTTAATCCAGTGAAATTCACAACTAAGATTAAATGGCATAAATCCATCTGCTTTCAAGATGACAACTAGTTACATCTCCTTCAACCATACTTAATCTCTGAACAAACATAATGAGTAGTTAATTTCACCTAACATGGTACAACTATTCTATACAAAATTTAAAATGCAGTAATCCCTTCCTTAAAATCTCAACAATTCCAGCATTGCCCAAAATTCCAATCCCAAAGTCTCCTCTGAGACTCAAGGCAAACTCTTAGTTTTGAACTCCTGTAAAATTCAAAAAGTATGTTATATATATTTCTAATATACAGTAGCACTGGGTAAGCATTTCCACGCCAAAAGGGATGAACAGGGAAATAGAAAGAAAGAGGACCAAAGCAAGACTGTAACACAGCAGGGCAAACATGAAGTCCTTCAGCTCTGTGTCCAGCACATAATGGGGCACATAATGATAAAACGTGATCTCCTGATGATTTGGGTATCCTGACTCCTATGGCCTTACTGGTTAAGAGTCCACATGGTCTCTCTCTTGGGTTGGCTTTGTTCATAACCTGTATGTAGCTTCCCTTGGCAGATGTTCCTGGCATCGCTGTTTTCTTAGGGTCCCCACTGAACCTTTGTCTTCATTCACACAGCTTCGTGCACCTCTTCTCAGGGGCACATTACCTGGCCTCTCAGGCATTCCTTAAAATCTAGGTAGACATCTCAATTACCCCACGACTCTTACATTCTGTATGCATGAAAAATAAGCATCTTGTGGATAATGCTAAAGTCTGCCAACTAGCTCAAGCAGAAGGTAAGCCCTCTTGGTACATGACTGCAGCAGCCTCTGAGTGCCTTCATAGTTGAGCACTGTGAAATGAATCCAAGGAACCAATTCCCTAGGGGAACCTTTGGTGTAGGGATCTGAGCAAGCAGTTCTCCTCTCAAATAAAATAGTTGTATTTTTCTACTCTGACACTATGGTGGGTGGGTCTTATTGATTCCTAAGGTGCATTCAAGACATCTTGAAAATACTTGGTTTCTTTTTAATAGCACTAATCTTTTTAGCAACCCCACCTTCTTTAGCCCCAGATTTACATGTGGTTCTTTTTTAGGAAAAAAGGTTTTCAAATTTTTCAGCTTTTTTTAACTCTTGATTCACACTATAAATGTGGCTAATAGTAACCAACAGTACTCATGTACACAGCCTTAACATTTGGACTACCTTGAATTTTTCTATGCCAGAGCAATTAGTCTGTACCTCTTAAACTCACCCTCACACAAAATCTCAAGTCATGGAGAAATGCAGACAAATTTTTCAGTAGGATATACTACCCACAGCCTCTAGTCCAATTCTAAGTGTCCTTGTTCTCATGCAAGGAATAATCGGCCTGTGCTTTAGAAACTGTATTCCTG